ATAATCAGCAGCAGCATCAGCATCATCATCAGCATCATCATCAGCATCATCATCAGCATCATCATCAGTATCATCAGCATCACCATCATCATCATCAGCATCATCCGCAGCAACATCATCAGCATCAGCATCATGATCAGCATCCGCATCAGCATCATCAGCATAATAATCATCAGCAGCAGCCTCATCATCATCATCATCAACAGCATTAACATCAGCAGCATCATCATCATCGTCAGCATCATCAGCATCATCAGCAGCAGCACGCGCAGTAGCAGCAGCATCAGCCGCAGCAGTATCATCACCATCATCAACATCTCCGTCATCATCGCCGGCATCAGTATCATCATCGACATCAGCGTCATCAGCAGCAGCATCACCATCATCATCATCATCATCATCATCAGCATCATCATTATCGTTAGCATCATCATCATCAGCATCAGCATCAGCATCAGCATCAGCATCAGCATCATCAACGACAGCATCATCAGACTCATCCGCATCGTCATCCTCATTCTCCTGCTCGTCCTCCTCTTCCGCCTCCGCCTCTTCCTCCTCCTGCTCCTCCTCCTCCTCCTCCTGCTCCGCCACTTCCTCCTCCGCCTCCTTCCCCATGCTCCTCCTCCTCCTCCTCGTCCTCCGCATCCTCATCCTCATCTTCGGATTCATCATCTTCGTCCTCCTTCGCCTCATCCTCCTCCTCCGCCTCCTCCTCCTCTTCTTTATCCGCCTCCGCCTGTTCCTCCTCCTGCTCCCCGTCCTTCTCCTCCTTCTCCTCCTCCGCCTCCTACTCCTTCTCCTGCTCCGCCTCTTCCTCCTCCGCATCCTTCCTCCTCCTCCTCCTCCTCCTCCTCCTCCTCCTCCTTCTCCTCATCATCATCCTCATCTTCATCATCATCGTCACCCTCCTCATCCTCCTCATCCTAGTCCTCCTCCCCCTCCTCCTCATCGGCCTCCTCCGCCCCTCCTCCTCCTCCTCCTCCTCCTCCTCCTCCTCCTCCTCCTCCTCCTCCTCATAGTCCGTTTCCTCCTCCTCCTCCTCCTCCTCCTCCTCCTCCTCCTCCTCCTCCTTGTATTCCTCCTCATCCACAATCTCCTCCTCATCCTCATCCTCATATCCCTCACCTTCGTCCTCCTGCTCTTCCTCCGCATCCTCCGCCTCCTCCTTCTCCTCCTCCTCCTCCTCCTCCTCCTCCTCCTCCTCCTCGTCCTCATCATCATCATCATCATCATCATCATCATCATCATCATCATCATCATCATCATCATCATCATCATCATCATCATCATCATCATCATCATCATCATCATCATCATCATCATCATCATCATCCTCATCATCTTCATCATATTCATAACCATAATCATCGCATCATCATCACATCATCATCAGCATCATCATCATCAGCATCATCCTCATCATCATCATCATCATCATCATCATCATCATATCATCATCATCATCATCATCATCATCATCATCATCCATCATCATCATCATCATCAGCATCATCATCATCATCACGTCATCATCATCAGCATCAGCATCAGCATCATCATTATCATCATCATCATCAGTATCATCATCATCATCAGCATCATCATCATCATCAGCATCATCATCATCATCAGCATCATCATCATCACCATCATCATCATCATCATCCGTACCCTCATCATCATTATCATCATCCGTATCATCAGCCTCCTCATCCTCCTCATCCTCATCCTCCTCCTCCTCGTTATGGTCCTACTCGTCGGTCTTCCCCTCCTCCTCCTCCTCCTCATCATCATCATTAGCATCAGCATCAGCATCATCATCATCATCAGCATCAGCATCATCCGCCTTCTCCTCCTCCTCATCCGCATCCCCATCCTCCTCTTCTTCATCATCCTCCTCCACACGTTTCTCCCGCCCCTCCCCATCATCACCAACATCATCATCCTCATCCTCCTCCTCTTCTTCCTCCTCTTCCTCCCCCTCCTCATCCTCTTCCGCATGGTCATCATGTTCTTCCCGTTCCTCTTCCTCCTCTTCCTCCCCGTCCTCCTCCTCATCATCCTCCTTTTCGCATTGTTCTTGTTATTATTGTTCTAATAGCATTAATTACTGCCAGTCGTATTAATAGTGGTATTATTGGTATTCGTAGTCGCCTTCGTATGAGTATGCTTAGTCTGGGTAGCACTCTCAGTAGCTATAGTATCAGTAGTATGCTTGACAGTACGACTCGTACTAAGTATTAGTGTTATGGGTAGGATTACGATTAGTATGCTGTATTGTTAGTAGTATCATCATCATCATCATCATCATCATCCTCAGTATCATCATCATCATCATTATCATCATCCTCAGTATCATCATCATCATCATCATCATCAGCATCAGCAGCAGCAGTATCGTCATCACCATCATCATAAGCATCAGCATCAGCATCAGCATCAGCATCAGCATCAGCATCAGCATCATCATCATCAGCATCATCAGCAGCATCATCACCATCATCATCATCATCATCATCATCATCATCATCATCATCATCATCATCTTCAGCATCCTCATCGACATCATCATCAGCAGCATCAGCATCATCCTCGTCTTCCTCCGACTCCTCATCCTCCTCCTCCGTCTTCTCCTCCTCCTCCTCCTCCTCCTCCTCATCCTCATCCTCCTCCTCCTCATCATCATCCTCCTCCATCCTCCTCATCCTCCTCCTCCTCCTCCTTCTCTTCATCCTCCTCCTGCTCATCCTCCTCCTCATCCTCCTCATCATCATCATCATCCTCCTCATGCTCCGCCTCCTCCTCCTCCTCAGCTTCCGCCTCCTCCTCCTCCGCCTCCTCCTCCTCCTCCTCCTCCTCCTCTCGTCTCCTCCTCGTCCTCCTCCCTCGTCCTCTTCTTCCTCCACCGCCTCCTCCACATTCTCCTCCTCCGCCTCCTCCTCCTCCTCCTCCTCCTCCTCCTCCTCCTCCTCCTCCTCCTCCTCCTCCTCTTCCTCCTCCTCCTCCTCATAGTCCTGCGGTTCTCCGTCTTCTTCCTCCTCCTCCGCCTCAGCCTCCCCACCATCCTCCTCAGCAGCAGCAGCAGCAGCAGCATCAGCATCAGCATCAGCAGCATCATCATCATCATCATCATCATCATCATCATCATCATCATCAGCATCATCATCAGCATCATCATCATCAGCATCATCATCATCAGTATCATCATCAGCATCCTCGTCAGCATCATCATCATAATCAGTATCATCAGCAGCATCATCATCAGCAGCAGCCGCATCATCATCAGCATCATCATCAGCATCATCATAATAATGATGATCATCACCCTCATCATCATCAGCGTCGTCGTCATCATCATCATCCTCATCAGCATCATCAGCATCATCATCATCATCAGCATCAGCAGCATCATCATCAGCCTCATCATCGTCAAGACCATGATCAGCAGCATCAGCCTCATACACAGCATCATCAGCAGCAGCAACCTCATCATCAGCATCATCGTAATCATCATCATGGGCAGCATCAGCATCATCATAATCATCATCATCATCATCATCATCACCTTCCTCATCAAGATCATCGTCATCAGCAGCAACATTAGCATCATCATCATCATCACCATCATCATCATCCTCATCAGCATCATCACAGTCACCATCAGCATCATCATCAACATCAGCAGAAGTGCAACATCAGCATCATAATCATCATCATCAGTAGCATCAGCATCCTCATAAACATCATTAGCATCATCGTCATCATCAGCAGCATCAGCATCATCCTCCTCATCAACAGCAGCATCATCAGAATCATCATCAGCATCACCATCATCATCATCAGCGGCATCATCAACATCCTCAGCATCAGCAGGATCAACATCATCGTCGTCGTCAGCATCATCATCATAACCAGCATCACCCCCTATCAACATCATCGCCATCAGCAACAACAGCATCAGCAACAGCATAATCATCATCAGCATCATCCGCGTCATCATGATCATGATCGTCATCGTCAGCATTAACATCATCATCATCATCATCATTACCGTCATCATCAGCAGCATCGTCATCGTCACCATCATCATCATCATCAGCATCATCAGCATCAATATGACCAGCATCATCAGCAGCATCAGCATCATCGACGTCGTCATCAGCATCATCAGCATCAGCATCAGCATCATCAGCATCAGCATCAGCATCATCATCAGCAGCATCATGATGACCATCACCAGCAATATCATCAACATCATCACAATCATCAGAATCATCATCACCACCCTCACCGTCAGCAGCATCAGCATCATCAGCATCTGCATCCGCATCCTTATCCTCATCGTCTTCTTCACAGCCTTCACTATCATCCTCCTCAACGGCATCATCAGCATCAGCATCAACATCATCATCGGCAGCATCGTCATTATCATCGTCGTGAGCATCGTCATCAGCATGGTCATCATGATCATCATGATCGCCATGATCATCATTATCACCGTCGTGGCCATCTGCATTATCATCAACATCACCGGCATCATCCTCTCCATCATCGCAATGATAATCGTCAGCATCATCATCGTGATCGCCATTACCATCGTCATCATCATCGCAGTCACCACCACCTTCTTCACCACCATCATCCTCATCATAATCGTTACCCGCATCATCATCATCATCATCATCATCATCATCAGCAGCAGCAGCAGCAGCATCATCAGCGTCATCATCATCATTACCATTACCATCAACAACATACTCATCACTGTCAAACGTATCATCCTCGTCCCCCACATCAACAACATCATCACCATCATCATCAGCAGCAGCATCATCACTGTCCCCATCCTCCTCATCATCATCATCGCCATACTCGTCAACAACGTCATCATCAGCATAATCACAATCAGAATACCCCCTCCCCCTCATCCTCATCATCATCCTCCTGCTTGTATTCCCCTTCCTCATAATCGTCATCGTCATCATCATCCTCCTCAT